AATCGATCCAAAATTACCGGTTTGATTCGGTTTCGATTATGACTAAAATACCTATAGATACCATACATTGATACCCATGGACATCAGATATTACACAGACCCGAATCGAAAATATTTTGGATATCCGAATACCCGAATACTTGAATCATAATTATATAATAGATTCAAAATATTAAATATATATCGAGTTTTTTGATAAATTTTCAATATTATGGATACATTTTCTTTGGTTTTTTTTATTTTTGGATATATTTTTGGATTATCAGATATAATTTTAGGTTTTCAAATATTTTTTGGTATTTCCGATATGTTTATTCAGTTTTCAGGTATATTTTTGGGTTTTTAGATATATGTTTGGATTTTCTGTTATAGTTTTAGGTATTTTGGATAGTTAACCGATTAAGAACCAAAAAAATCGGATATTTTACATCAAATTTTGGAATTAAACCGACCCAAAAATATTTCGATATTTAAATGGATCCTTAACCTTCATACCCGTAATATCTGAAACCGAATATTACCAAACTGAAACCGTAACAGATATCCGAATTCCTAGGCCGAGGCTCACCAATGTACTAGGTTTAATATAGGATTTTGGAAAACTATGGAATACATCCCATCGATATTTGTCGAAACAAGGGGATTTGTCCACATGGAATAATAAACATGTCTTGAATTTCCTGAGATGCAACTGTAAGTTGGAAAGCTAATCAATTTCCATGAGTTTTACAGATGTTAGGGGTTGATAATAGTTTCTGAATAGAAGAACTAAAGATTCGGAGAAGTTAAAAAGAAAAAAATATTAAATGGATTTTTTTTTTATCAAAAGAACCAATCAAAGAACAAAATTTTCATTATATCCTTTTCTCAAATCGTTCTATTTCATTTAGTATTCTCTAGGGATAAGTTAGAATGATAAAAAACTATATATCCAACAAAATTAAACAATGATATCTACTTGGAAAAACGAAAAAACTTTTGACTCTTATACCAAGCTTTTTTTTTTGTCGTCTCATCGTGTTATTATAAAAGCCCATAACGAGCAAGGATACAAGCATTTTCGAGGCCCAAGATCTTTACAAATTAAAACCCAACTAAAGCCCTTAACATTAGAGATAAGGACTAGTGAATAACAGACACGTGGAGACACGTGAAAGCCTTGAGATGAATGTCAGTCAACGGAGAGAAGATGCCGGCGACATCATCGCCGATGCAGAGCTTCGCCTGAAGATTGAAAGAGCATGACCTCCAATCGGATCTAGCATCCTCCTCGAACAAACCGCTTCTCCTCCACCGTTCACTTTCTCCTCCATTTGAGATCCCATGAGTATTGCCCAGAAACTTTAAATCTCCAATAAAAACATTGACATGCCGATCATCTTCAACTCACAACCAGTCACCCACTGCCTGGAAATAGGCTTTAAGAAAGGGGACCTAGGGAGATCTCATCTCCCGCCGAGAGAGAGGATGGTACCACAAGTTGAAGAAGAAGAGCTCTGAGTATTACCGCCGGAATCGATTGCCTTCGCCTCAATACAAGAGGAACCTGATTTCAAAGGAGAAAAGGGCAAGACAACATCCGATTAAGCTAGAAAACCGTTGCAATAACATAAGAAAATTTTGATTCCTCTAATTCAAAGAAATTCATCACTCCAATAAGGAATAATGATAAAGCTTGAAAAAGGAATCAACATGAAAGATAGCGAAGGAGTTCATAGCTGCGGATGAACATAGATCTGAACAAGTCGGAAAACATAGAAAATCTGATCATAGTCAGAATTATTATTCCGTTTAACCGGAAAACATCTATCCGATATTAATCGAAATTTGTACACCAAAAACTGAGAAAAACTCTCGCTCTGTGAAAGATATTGAAGAGAGAACAGAGGGAGAGGAAAAAAACTCAGCGACTCTTATACCAAGCTAAAATTTAAGTTTTGAATATATGTTTAGTAGGATTAATGGGTAATCAGTACCAGCTTCTTTTAGTAAGCAAAACTAGTACCTTACTGGTCTTTCAGTCATCAATTTCTTTCCTTGATTGAAAAACTAAAAGGCAAAAAATCAAGTCATAAAGGTCAAACAATCAAACTTTTGAATGATTTTTTTTCTTCTTTTCCATAAATGTTAGACCATTGATGTCAAGCTATGTAGGAATCTAAGCGAAGATATCCTTTTTAAAACTTACATCAAATACTAACTCTAATCTAATTATATAAAAGAGAATGATTCAAAATTAACAACTCGCTAGATTGTGACACGTGTCAAGTGAATCGAAAAGATATTGACATGTGTTTAATAAATTTTTAATTATATTTTAATAAGTTTAATTAAAAAAATTGATAATTGGTTCGTAATCATAAAAAGTAAAAAAATAATAATATTTATTAGAATAATTCAAAGTTAGTAATTCATTAGATCGTGATACATGTCAATTGAATAGATAAGATTTTGCCACAAGTTTAATTATATAAAACATTCACATATTGTGCAAGAACACGAGGATGTCGCCGTTTTTTGCAATCGAGATATGTTATTTTTTTTTTTCAACAGCCTCATTACCTAGTACGGTTGGGTTAACCAAACTGGTGGTATTGAGTTTACATACATAACATTTTGAGGGTAGATCCGAGCACTCCTTGCTAGGTTATCCGCCTTCGAGTTCTTTGCGTGTGGGATATGGGATATACGAAAGAAACTGAACCTGTCTTTCATCTTCATTATCTCCTCCAAGTGTAGAGCAAAAGCCGGCCAGTCTTCAGGTGTAGACACCATCTTCACCAACTCTGAACAGTCCGTAGCAAAAGCGACTTCCATCTTTTGATTCTCCAACATACAGTGCATAGCCCATATAAGGGCTTCCATTTCTGCGTGTAGAGGCGTAAGACTTCGTCTTACATTTTGTGCTCCCATTATTTTCTCTGGAACACCTTCCTTAAAATAAAACCATCCTAGACCCGTTATTGGCTCCGTATCTTTCCACGATCCATCAATATAGCACCACCAGCCTTCATAGACTATAGGTATTGACAGGCTTGTAGTATGACCAAGATCTACATGTGTTAATTCTTGTTCTGAATTTTGAGCCTCTTCCCATAAATTCGCTTCTGTTTCCGCTATTTTTAGCGTAACCCGTGGATCAATATTGATATTTGAGTACACTTTCTCGTTTCGAGTTTTCCAAATATACCATGCGATCCATGGAAATTGTATGTTTTTTTCCTCCTTTGGAAGTCTCCAAAACAGATGAGAATCAAAAAGAAAATCCCACTTCTAGACAAAAACCATCCTAGAACAACCACCCTAGAACCTAGTAAAAGTACATAGACAGTAAATTTCAAAGTGATAAGATAGACTACTGCCACTAGAGATGCACACCCTATAAAAAGACTAAGCTCATCAACAAGTTCTTGTAAACAAAGAAAGAGCAAGGAATTGAAAATTTATCGAGTTTTGTCAAAAGGTAAATAACAAACATAACTCCAAACAACACAAGACGGAAGTTAGGTTTGTGTTGTGAATCTCTTGAAATGGTGAAGGATAATTTTCTACCGGTGAAGGAGTGTGTTTGCCACCAGAATACTGTCATTGTCGTCTTTATTTCTGGTTAATTCCGTAAAAACAACAACAAGCAAGATTTATGTGATTAGAAGCCGTGAAGGGCATCAGAGATGGTGATAAACCTGGAAAAAATGATGTATTATCTTTGTCTTTGAGAGCCATAAGAAAATATGTTTTTTGAAAATAATTACACACACGAGAGTATGAAAATCAAGTATTAATATGAAACATACATGAGAATATGAAAAGCAAGTACTAGTGATCTTTAGAGTTTTCAAAAATCATTTTGAAAAAAATAAAACTTAACAAAAAGCACATAATTAGTACAAAATATGAAATATTAGAAACTCTAAAGTATTCAAAGATCTATAAGACCATCATGAAGGGTGATGTAAACTAAAACAAAAACAAAAAAATCACAACACCACAACTTGATCTTTATAAACAGAATTTTCTTATCTAATTTTCTCATTTTTGTGGTTAGTAACTAATTCATTACACCAACCAAAGCCGTAATCTTTTTTCGGAAGCTCATTTTTGACATAGTCGAAGCTGATGAAATTTATGTCGTTAAGTCCACCACGCAAAGAAACCTTTTACCACTCTCTCATGGTCGGTCCCAAATAAAAAGAGTCCAATTATTATTTTTAAGTACATACCGTTTGTATGAAATTATAACTGAGTTTCAATATAATATATATAAAAAGTTTATACCAATATGGCATCGTGTTAAAAAAAAACATTATTCAAAAATAGATTTTCCATATAATTATGTTCTGATTAATTATTTTTTTCTGTTAGAATATTAGTTTATTAAAATTCAAAATAATGTACTGCAAAAAGTGATAATCAAGTTCACAACTGGATTTGGCATTTTTTAGACTAAGTAATTAACAATGTAAAGTCCAAATTAAAATGGGTTTAATTTAACGGCCCAATATGAGGCTCCTCTGAGCTAGGGTTTTTAATAATTGGTTCTCGACTTATAGGAGTCTTTTAAGCGGCGATAGAGAGGAGGAAAATCGTGGTGAAGAAACAATGGTGAAGTTCTTGAAGCAGAACAAGGCAGTGATCCTCCTTCAAGGCCGATACGCCGGAAAGAAGGCCGTGATTATCCGATCCTTCGACGACGGAAACCGTGAGCGTCCCTACGGACACTGCCTCGTCGCCGGACTCAAGAAGTACCCGAGCAAGGTCATCCGAAAAGACTCGGCGAAAAAGACGGCGAAGAAATCTAGGGTTAAGTGTTTCATCAAGCTCGTTAACTACCAGCACCTGATGCCTACTCGTTACACTCTCGATGTGGATCTCAAGGAAGTCGCCACGCTCGACGCTCTTCAGTCCAAGGACAAGAAGGTCGCTGCTCTCAAGGAAGCCAAGGCCAAGCTCGAGGAACGTTTCAAGACCGGCAAGAACAGATGGTTCTTCACCAAGCTCAGGTTCTGAGGAAAATTCGTTTTTCTCACGCCCTTTTTCTTGCTTTTCGGATTACAGCGTATTATTAGTTTCTTATGGTGAACAATGTGTATCCTGTTTTGGATTGTGAAAGTTCGATTCTGGATTTTGATTCTCGAATGCATTTTGATTACCTCTTTGATTGCTTTGAATTATCTGCTTGGATTTTGCCATAAGTTGATTTTGTTAGATCCAGGATCTTCTTGTTTAACATCTCGGCTAGAAAAATGATCATTTTGCTTATTTGAATCAAAGTTATTGGGTTTTTTTGTAAAACACAACAAAATTTTGCTTCTTGGCATCATTACGAATATTGAATCAAACAAATTTTCAATCCTGAAATGTTCTTTTAGCAATGTGCTCAGAATTTGTAGTTTCAATAGAGGAAAGCAACCTTTTTTCCATATGAAAATGCAAGAGCCTGGTGATTAAGAAGCATATGTCCAATTATTCTGTAATTATATATGATTGTAACTGTCACAGATACATAACTGTTAAGAGTATATTCGAGACATAAACATGAATGTTTCTCCTTTAATTGCATAACACAACGTATGCTACAAAAGAAAACCAAAATCGACAAGCTAAGTTATAGCTTCAGGGGAGCTTCGTAGATAGTGTGTGATGTCTGTTTTTGTGTTCAATTGGAAACCAATAAATCGACAGCTAAGTAATAGCTTCCAACAATAACCGTCGATGCAACAGAGCTTCGAGCCATCCTCATCCCAATTCCTCGGAACAGGAGATTTCTGTCTGTAGGATGGATTCCTGTCCATCTCTCCAATCTCTTGCCAGGTTTATTCCATCTCAGAAACTTCCTCTCTTTTGCTGTATACTGTACAAAACACCAGGAAAAACCAAACAGAAAGAAATGAGAAAAACAGAGCTTTGTAAGAACAATGTGAAAAAGCCATGAATGGATTCTTTTGTTTACCTTTGGCAATATTACACACTGTGCACGTGTTCTTGCTGTGTCAAAGCTATGAGATGCTGCAGCTGCAACGGCACCGGATAATCCAGCGGCAAAGCTAACAGCTACCGGAGATAAAGGTCCGACTTCTTCTTCAGAACTGTGAATTCAACAAGTTTTTTTGCGGACTCATTAAACAATCACTGCACATTTCGATCAAACTCAAAGTGGATTCAGAGTTTTAAAGTACCTAGGCAGAGGATTCATTCCAGCTGCTTTCCAACTAATCATTGCCTCGTGAAGAAACTGCCATGTCGAGAAGAAGACTCCTCCGTAAAGACAATCTCTTACGAGACCAGAACGTAGATTCCTCCACAAAGCTCTCCATCCTTCAAGCGATGCAACATCGAGTGGTCTCTTAACATCCATGGCTGATGGTGGGTTTCCTGTGCCAGTCATCATCCATGGGTACTCTTGCAAAGCGGCTGTCATGTTTGGGTGTTTGTGGTTTAAGACGGATAAGAGACTGACGGTTTGTGTCAATGACTTCACATCAAGAGTGTATCGTCTTAGCAGTTTTGTGATCATTGGTGAAACCGGTGCGGTTTCTGCAACAGAGGTAGCAGCAGCAGCATTCGGGGACCGTGATGCAGCAGTGACTTGTTTTCGGACTTTGATTAGCTCAAATGGAGAAGTCATCACTGTTTCTGCTGCACCTCCCACCATTCCAGCCAGGAAAGCTTCACCGACTGACACATAGTTATCACGTCGACCATCTGGAACAAAAAGGGGTTCATACAAAGAACTAGTCTTCAGATTCTTCAAGAAAAAACGGTTTTGTTCGAGCAAAGACGGGTAAATTCAGCTTCCAAATACATACTACCATCATGATTGTCCGAACTATGAAAAGAACCAACTTCCAGTGTAAAAACCATACTTATTCTAACATAGTTTGCTACATACTCTTAACATAATCTATGAATAATGGCAATATTTTTATCAATGGATTGCATTCTTGTCTAATCAACTGAAGTTCTTGAGCTGAGTACAAGAGCTAGATGCAAAAACCTAATCTTGAATCATCTGACATTAGACACAAAGGAGACATGAATCTTCACAATACCTTTGTAGAAGGCTGTTAGAATCTCATAGACACCGAACCTTGCACCAACACCTGAAATTCTTCCTAAAGTTAACCATCCAAGACCACTGTACAGACCTGCAGTTTTGTCCAAAAAAGGCACGAAACATTCAACGATATCTCATTTTGCCTGATGCAGAATTTAGAAAATGATTGAAATAAAAAAGAGTAATTTGCGAACCTGAATAGCCAGAGAAGCGGAAAACTCTGTTGACGACTTGAAAGGGGCTTAATTGCTTACTGGGTCCTGAACCAACCTACAGTTCAATATTGAAAATCAATCCCCAGAAAATCGAAGTAATAGAAAAAGAAAATGATGAAGAAGAAAGAGGAAGAAACCTGGATTATGGTTTTAATGGTATCCAGTGGGTAAGCGAGAGCAGTTCCTAGCGAGACAGAGGCCGAGGCGGCTATAGCATGCGTCGCAAACTGATGATTCTCAAGAAGCTTATCCATTTTCAGTGCCTTCGATTTCTATATGGAAGTCGTCGTCTAACTGTTCGACGAAATGCCTCAGCGAAAGCAAATGTCTCTCAAGTGGATTATGATACAGTTCCAAGAAGACGTTTGAATTTAAGTAAACGAAAAATTCATCTCCAAACCTATTTTACGTTGAAAACGTTTGAGATTTTACGTTGAAGCAACCAGATCAGAGAGACTGAGAGGAAGAAGACGATCGACGTTGATCGGAGCAGGTTCGATTCGAATGTAAGACGACGTCGTTTATTCGAATATGCCCTAAGACGAAACGACCGTCGGTTTATTATTTAAGGGATTAGGAAAAAAACGGAAAACAAATTTTAGCAAAATAAAGCGTTTGGTAGAGAATTTTGCCGATTTATAGGTATAGGCCATAAACCAGAAAAAGCTGCCAAACCTATTTCTTCTTAACCCTAAACGAGCCGGGTCAGATTTCTCTGACATTGCATACCTCCTCCGATTCTCTCCACCGTTCGTCCGGAATCTTTTTTTCCCGACCGATTCCAGGTTCCTCTTCTCCGGAACCGAAGCCAGTGTACCGGAATTTCGTTAGTTTTGGCGAAACCGATTCTCCGTAACCGGCCACAACCTGCAAACCAGAAAAAGGTTCGTTTTTTTCTTCGTTCTATCGAAACTTGTGTAATTTGGCCGAGATTTTGGTGCTGCATGGGGTTTTAGAATTTGCGTTTTTGATTCTTTGTTTCTGGAAAATTGATCAATGTTCGATTTTGGGTATTGTTCTGAACAAACCGTTTAAACTTGTGTTTGTAATGATCTGGATATGAGATAATCTAGCTTTGTCATCTTCGTTACGTTTAATTTCGAAAAAAACGAAGCTTTAGTTTATATGGCAAAAAGCAATGTAATTCCTGAGCTTTATTTTCTTTCATCTTCTCCAAGGATTGTTCATATGTTAATATCATCATCATTAACAATGATGTCTCTACCTTCTCTTGTTGAAAAACCAGGCTTTAATGGATTCCGACTTAGAACCTGTAGCTCTTACACCTCAGAAGCAAGACAATGCGTGGAAGCACTGTGAAATCTACAAATACGGTGACCGGCTACAGATGAGGTGTCTCTACTGCCGGAAAATGTTCAAAGGCGGAGGCATCACCAGGGTTAAGGAACATCTCGCCGGTAAAAAGGGACAAGGCACAATCTGTGACCAAGTCCCTGGAGATGTTAGGCTCTTCTTGCAGCAGTGCATTGATGGAACCGTGAGACGACAGAGGAAGAGACGTAATCCTAGCTCGGAGGAGCCTTTGCCTGTAGCTGATTTACCTCCTTGTGAAGGGGAGACGATGGTGGTTCAGGGTGATGTGAACAACGGGTTTACATCTCCGGGAAGCTCTGATGTTGTTGTGCAGAACGAGAACATGTCGGTTAGCAGAACAAAGCAGAGAACTTACAGGAGTAAAAAGAGTGCTTTCGAAAATGGTGTTGGTGCGAGCAACAACAGTGAACTGATTGGTAGAGACATGGACAATCTGATTCCTGTGGCGATTAGTAGTGTGAAGAACATTGTTCACCCTTCCTTTAGAGATAAGGAGAACACTGTTCATATGGCGATCGGGCGGTTTTTGTTTGGTATTGGAGCTGATTTCGATGCAGTGAACTCTGCTAATTTCCAACCGATGATCGATGCCATTGCCTCTGGAGGATTTGGTGTATCTGCCCCCACACATGATGACCTTCGAGGTTGGATACTGAAGAACTGCGTAGAGGAAATCACGAAAGAAATCGATGCGTGCAAAGCGACGTGGAAGACGAGCTCTGATACAGGCTGTTCCATTTTGGTAGAGGAGATGAGCTCTGATAATGGCCTTAAAGTCCTTAACTTTCTGGTTTACTGTCCTGAAAAGGTGGTCTTTCTGAAATCCGTGGACGCATCTGAGATATTATCTTCTGCTGATAAACTGTTTGAGCTACTTAGGGAAGTGGTTGAAGAGGTTGGCAGTGCACATGTCGTTCAAGTGATCACAAAATGCGATGATAACTACGTTGCTGCAGGAAAAGAGTTGATGCATACATATCGTTCACTATATTGGGTTCCTTGCGCTGCAGATTGCGTTGATAAGATGCTCGAGGAGTTCGGGAAACTTGGCTGGATAAGCGAGATCATCGAAAAGGCTCGAGCCATCACAAGATTTGTTTACAATCGTAGTGATGTTTTGAATCTGATGAGGAAGTTTACCTCTGGCAATGATATCCTGCAACCAGCAGTTAGCACTTCCGCCACAGATTTTGCTACGTTGAGCAGAATGGCCGAGCTCAAATCCAAGCTGCAGGCGATGGTTGCTTCGCCAGAGTGGAATGAATGTTCATATTCGAAAGAACCAAGCGGATTGGCCATGACTGCTATCACTGATGAAGCCTTTTGGAAGGAACTAGTGTTGGTAAACCATTTAACGGGTCCTCTTTTGAGGGTTTTGAGAATAGTTTGCTCTGAAAAGAAGCCTGCAATGGGGTATGTCTATGCAGCACTGTACCGAGCAAAGGAAGCAATCAAGACACATCTGGTTAATAGAGAGGATTACATAATATACTGGAGGATTATAGATCAATGGTGGGAGCCTCAACAGCATGTTCCTACTCACGCTGCTGGTTTCTTTCTTAACCCGAGATTCTTCTATAACGCCAGCGAAGAAATGCGTAGTGAGATCATTCCATCGGTGCTCGATTGCATCGAGAATCTGGTTCCTGACCTCAACATTCAAGATAAAATCAGCAAGGAGTTAAACTCTTACAAGAATGCTGTAGGAGTCTTTGGTATGAACTTGGCAGTCAGAGCTCGGGACACAATGCTTCCTGGTACTGTCAATATTCTCCTTAACTTTCTTGTGTAATTCTTTCGCTTGTACTTCTATCACTTGACTCTCTCTCTTGCTTGGTTGTTAGCTGAGTGGTGGTCTACATATGGAGAAAGCTGCTTGAACCTCTCACGTTTTGCGAAACGCATTCTTAATCAGACGTGCAGTACATCAGTTGGCTGCAGGAGAAACCAGATACCGGTCGAACAAATATACCAATCAAAGAACTCCATTGAGCAGAAAAGGCTCAGCGATCTTGTATTTGTTCAGTACAACATGCGCCTCAGACAACTGTAAGTTGTAAATCTTGCCCTTTTGCCAAACAAAACCTTTGTTTTCAGGGAGTAGAAACATATAGAACTAATTGTTCTCTGTCTCTCCTTTAGGGATCCTGAAAGTGGGGGTGACACATCAGACCCGTTATCACACAAGAGGATGGATGTTCTTGAAGAATGGGTTTCCAGAGACCAAGCTTTTGTAGAAGAAATTGGAAGCTCGGACTGGAAGTCGCTCGAGTCAGTTAAGAAGACACAAGTAGCACCTATCATCGATGAAACTGATGACTTGGGCTCAGGTAAAAAGATTCAGCATCCTCACACAATCTGTTTCAGTTTTTTTTTTTAAAAATTTTTCTAAGATATGATGTTTAAACAAAAAAAGTTGAAATGAATGTGTGCAGATTTCAATGATGCTGAGATATTCAAGGTAGAAAAAGAAGTGAGAGATGAAGTTTATTACACAAACACATCAGAGAAGCTATTTACGTGACATCAAATGATTAACTATGGTTGGTTTAAAGCTTCTTTCACAGCTTTTCTCAACTCTTAGGAAGCTGTTTGTAGTCATAGCTTGTGATTTATAATTCTTAGACTATTTCCCTTTTAAAAGACGTTTGTAGTTCTTTCTTCTTCTTACTCCATCATCATTCAGTGTCCTATTAGGTTTCTCGAGTTTGGGTGTTACTGTCAGTTTATGTTAGATTTTAAATTCGTTTGACAAATACAGTGTCAGTGTTCTTGCTTATAATCTAAAATGCCTAATTTCTCTCATATATTTGATGCTTATAATCCTTAGTTCTTGTCAAGTACTGATTGATACTAAGAATATACAACGATTTGATAGCGATTTAAGATGTTGAAATTATCTCCATAGTTGATTAATGCTTCGTTAAGTTATCTGAAATCCAAAACCTGAATTGGGATCCGTTAAAGACTTTAACTTAAAGTATCCGGATTCCGGAGTGTCCGGATCTATATAGCAACATACTAAATTACTAACATCAAAGATCCGTTGGAACCGAATATTAGATCCGCATAGTAAAATTCAAGGCCTAAAAGTCCAAACTATTAACCACAAAGGCCCATTATTGTATATACGGCCCAAGCCTATAGAAACAATTGGAGCAATCGGCGAAAAAAAAAGAAGAGAGTCAGATAGCTTAAAGGTTGACGACGAGTGTCATCGGCCGACATCGGAGACATGGCTTCTTCGGCAACTATCAGATCTGAAATCTACGACAGAGAAGAACGGAAACAGTTAAATCTTCGTTTCATCTCGATTCTCTTCTTTCTTTTGTTCACTATGTTCGAATCTGTCTGATTCTGTGTTCTTCCTCTTTTGTTTGATTTCATTGCTCAATCGTCCTTCCTCAGGCAATACCAAGCGCATATTCGTGGCCTGAATGCTTATGAACGTCACAAGAAGTTTTTGAAAGACTATGGTAAAGGGTTGCTTTTGTATTTGTCTTTCGATTTTTTAGCTGGATATTTAGGTTTGATGCTTTCGAGGACATAAACATAAATTGGGAAATTGGGGTAAATAAGTGAGCTTTCTATTTATCCAAATCCAATATGTCCTAAAATCAAAACTGGTTGATGAACAGTCTTCTCCTCTGAGCTAGGAAGGAGGCTACAGTCAGCCTAACATTTTGTTTTGTTTTGTTGTGGACTCCATTAGGAAGATAGTTTCTTTTGCCTTGAAGTAGCTTTTAAGATAGTTTATTTTGCCTTGAAGTAGCTTTTAAGATAGTTTATTTTGCCTTGAAGTAGCTTTTAAGATAGTTTATTTTGCCTTGAAGTAGCTTTTGGTTGAGGAGTTTCATCTCTTGTATTTTCACTTTGCAGTTCGTTTTTATGGGAAGGGCAAGTCAGTGGAAGTCAAGCTGCCGGTTAAAACCGATCACGACACACTAAGAGAAGGATACAGGTATATAGTTGTGTTGGAGATTTTTCAAGTTTAAAGATGCATGCTTTGATGAATCTGCAAGTTTTTTCTTGTTGAATCTTACTTGGCATTTATCGTTGTTTCTTGCGTTTTTTTTTTTTTTGGGTATCTTCTGATCTCTTGAATACTTCGTTGTATGTTTTGTCTTAATTTTTGGGTTTGTCTTTCCAAGGTTTATACGTTCCGAGGAAGATGATCTGAACCCTTCTTGGGAGCAAAGATTGGTGAAGCGATACTATGATAAGCTTTTTAAAGAGTATCCTTTAAAACATTGTACTGCTTCGGTTACATTAACAACCGGTAGATAACTTAGTTTCAAGTACTATTTTACGGGTGTGGGGATGATTACATGTCGATCTCCTTGACTGATTGAAGATTCTGTATAGCTGACATGTCAAGATACAAGACTGGTAAGGTAAGATCTGGTGTATGGATACTGCTTCTCTAGTACATTCCTAATTCCTGTATTATTTTGTTCATTTGACGTATTTTGAATGTTTGTAGATGGGTTTAAGATGGAGAACGGAAAAGGAAGTAATGTCAGGGAAAGGTTAATATTTTGCTCAAACTCTATTTTCCTTTCATTTCTTTTAAGTAGCTACGATAAGAGTTTTGAGTGTAAATGCAACTGCTTTTTGTCAGGGCAGTTTATGTGTGGGAGCAAACAGTGTGATGAAAAGGATGGGTTAGCAAGCTATGAGGCATGTATCCTTAGGGATTATCTCAAAATATGTTCTGATGTTTGTGTTTGTGGGTCGGATTATTTCACTGAGCTTATTGAATTTGCAGGTGAATTTCTCGTATCATGAAGCTGGAGAAGACAAGCAAGCCCTTGTAAAACTCGTAGCTTGTGAGAGGTATGCACTCAGTGTACAGCTTGTTCATCTCTATTTCGTATCTGCTTTCTGAGTAGAATTTGTGGTTGTTTTTGGTAATTGAATACCTATAACCATGACTATATTGTTTCTATGCTTTTGTAGTACACTTGCTTAGTCTCAATAAAGCTTGACAACCCTCTTTTACTTTTCTTTCTGTATCAAACATTTATGCACTAGATGTTCGGAGAAGCTTTACTACAAAAGAAGAAAGGAGGGTGAAAAGTCAGACAGTAAAGAGAAGAAGAAGCATAAACGAAAACGGTATTGATAAAGAGATTAGTGTCATGTTACAATTAAGGCATAGTTTCCTGTTTGAGTATTATTATGCTTAAATACGTATTTGAAATTCAGGAATCGATCAAGCAGTGAAGATGACACAGATGAAGAGGAGAGGAGAAAAGGTGTGGAATTTACAAAGTTAAATATATCTTTGGTTTGCTATTATCATAGTTCGTTTAGAAAAGGTTATGTATTATAAGTTGCATAAGGGAGTGAATAGAGTTGTATTTCATAATGCCAGGGAAAAAAGGCAAGTCCAAGTCGGTGGGTAGTGATGATAGAGAAGGCAAGGATGATGAAAACTTCGACGAATACATGGAGGGGATGTTTCCAGGCAAAGGGTGATAATTAGAGTTTCATAAGTTGGACCATTTGATCTTGCACCACAAGGACATGTAAACGTTAACAGAACTCCTTACTTAAAAAAAACCCTGAATTTTAACATCCAGAAGAGAATATAAATCATATACTTTTAGTCTTTTATTTTCGAGTTTTGGGTTTATGCCAGCCTAAGTATACACAACAATAGGACTTCTCACATTGTATGATCCATCCGACCAAACTAGAGACGCAGACACAATACCAGATATACCAGCAAGACTCTTGCCAGGGACTGTAACAGTGAAAGACTTCTTCTCCCCTGACGACTTGAAAGAGAGGGTCTCTGGCTCAACCTTGATGCTGAGTTTAGGATCACCAGACAACTTTGCCTTGTAAGTGGATCCTTTTGTCCCAACGTTGGTGACTGTTCTTGAAAATGTAATATCTGAAGATGATGAGGCTGAAACTTTAGCTGTCATTGAAGGATAGTTGAGGTTTCTCATGTTAAGCTTTGATTTTTCGGAACAAGTAAAGGCTCCTCCAGCGAGAGTACTAATGCCTTTGGATGAGTAGTCCAAAGAGCATAGCATGTTTAAGTAATCCTCTTTGGCTATGTCGTAAACAAGCCCTGGATCAACTGCTACCGTAGGGTTAACGTATCCTGATCCATATGCAAACTCAGCTTCTGTGGTTTTGGAAGCATTCATTGCCCAAGCTGCAACAAGACAAAAGAGATACATGAATCACTTCACTTGAATTATTTCTTATGGGAATAGATTGGTTTGATGTTGATAATTACCAGTAGTCATGATAGCAGATTTGATGGCAGGAACAGACCAATCAGGATGGAATGTCTTGACATAAGCCGCTACACCTGCGACATGAGGGCAAGCCATAGATGTTCCGGTCATGAAATAGTAATCCACGCTTTGTCCAGGAAGTGCGGTTTGAGCCACAGGTGAATATGCTGCTAATATATTCACTCCTGGAGCTGTTATATCAGGCTGCATATATGTATAAACCTTACAATGTCAAGACACTGATCGATCCCAATTCCAACAAATTGTATGTTATGACACTAAGTCATGTGTATCTTGTTTCGTGTGGTACCTTCATGATATCGCTAAAGAGAGTGTTTGGACCACGAGAAGAGAAGGAAGCAACGATCGGAGCATCGTTGTCTTTAACTGTCTCACTCTTCAGTATAGTTCCTTGTGGGTTTCTGTTTCATATCGAAAAATGTCAGATTCATCGTCAACGGATCTAACCAAAGATTGTGTATGGAAGAATATCTTACGGTGAAGAGAGAACGTAAGATCTGAATGCTTCATAATTGGTATCATCTAAGGTTGCGACCGGAAGCGGACCAAGACCAGGAGAATCAACATCAGTTACATGAAGGATGACTCCAACCGCGCCCGCTGCTTTAGGTTCCATAGTATTATCTGGAACATCACACACAACAATCTTTCCCTTCACCGTGTTCAGGCAACCGCTATCGCATCCCCTAGCATACGATAAAGGAAGATTAAATTCCATTTAGTTTCTTGAGTCACAAGTTAGGTCACTAAAAATTCCTTGAGACACAATTTACCTTGCTAGCTCTTCTGTACAATTGTTTGAAGCAGTTTTTCCGTAGGCCAAAGGATACTTCTTACCTTTTAAGTCAAAGTCATTGATCGATCTTCCCTGTATGTTCATACATTAATCAAAATGATTTACGACAACAATCATATATTCTCTCTAATTAACTAAAACTAAGATAAAAACTTCTTACAGGTATGGTCTTGCCATCTCCATTAACCACATTAGTAACAAATTTCCGATCAGTTGAACCCGCAGCCACGGATATGATCCACGGTGCAAGGTTAGCCGCTTTTCCAGGTTTAGAGCCATCGTTCCCGACAGCAGCTGTGGTAACAATCCCTTTGGCCATCGCGTGAAAAGATCCAATAGCGATAGGGTCAACATCGACTTTAGTTACACCTCCTCCAATGGAAATGGTTATAACATCGACACCATCGGCTATAGCATCGTCAAACGCAGCCATCATGCCCTCGGCGTTGCAACCTGCTGGCTCACAAACTCTGTAAATAGCAAGTCTACCTAAAGGCACACCACCTCTTGCAGTTCCTTCTGCCACGCCATTCACACTCACTCCTTTTACTTTGTTTCCAGCCGCAGTTGAAGCCGTATGTGACCCGTGAGAGTCATTGTCCCTCGCTGAGTCCTGCACGTAGTGTCGTGCGCCAATCACCTTCCTGTAGAATTTGGATTAGGGTATTAATTAATCTCTGATTGATTGTTTCGTGTCATGCAAGAAACCTGGAGAAGAAAAGTGATAATATGTTGTTTGTTACTTGTTGCAGGTGAAGTTCTTTCCTCCTGCACAAGTTCCTTTCCATTTTTTTGGTATTGGACCAATTCCTTCGTCTGAAAAGCTCTTGGATTCAGGCCAGATTCCCCCGTCGATTACACCAACTATTGTATTGGTCTCGATCTCAGGAGCTTGCTTGCTGTTGCCACCAAGTCCCATGAACTCGTAAGATCTTGTAGTAAGAAGCTTATAAACGGTGTTTGGGAAAACCGAAACCACACCTTCCATGCCTTCGATCACATCACACATAACATCATTATAATCGAATTAACCAATATCATGGCGAGTTTCATAATTTTTGTATATAATCATATAACTCACTAGCAAGCTTGTCTCTTTCAGATTCAGTGAGTTTGGCGGCAAAACCATTGAAACTTCTCCCGTAGCTTCTGACCAAAGATTCTTCTACGGAACTGCAGAACAAAAATAAAAGATCAGTGACAAAAGATGGCGTAAGAAACAAGAAACAAGGCTGAGAGAGATTTGAGAATCTTGAAACCTCGATTCGATAACTTCTTGAAGGATATTCTGATGGTGAGACATAGGAGAGTAAGATGCTTTTGAAGGAAGAGCTCCCATGTAAGCAATATACACCTGCCTCAAAAATGTTAGGCGGAGTCAATTATAGGCCAATACAAACAAGATAACATTGATAGTTATTAATTATGTTTACAAAACAGCAATGACTTGCCTTTCTTTCATCCTCAATAGCTGTGGGTATCTGACAAAGGCTCATGAGAAGAACCGAAGAAAGACAAAGGATCAAGCCAAGGGAAGCCATTTTCAAGACGTTTATTTGTTGATAAGAGTTCTCAATAGGTGTGTATATTTATAACTTATCTTGACAATGCATTGATGTTGTAGAGATCTATGTAATGAATGTAGGAACTAATTATATTTCAAATTATGGGAAGTTCTTCAATTTGAGGAGGAAGTTTTTCTAGATTTTTAGATTTTTAGTTCTTATTTTTTTTTTATTTTTTTTTATTTCTTTCTTTTTGTAATGATTTGGTTTTTTTAAAAAAAATAGTAAATACAGAGAAATGGTTTTAGTGTTATAGAGAAAAAAATATTCATTCTTACTCTTCCACTAAATAACTTTAGATTTTGTAAAGATGGGATAATATTACTAGTATCATTTTTATTTGAAAATGAATATATAAATTTTAGGAAAGTAATTTATGTTGTGAATAAAATGGATCTTGTGTTTAATGAAATTATGAGATAGTGTTATTAATTTCATTTGAATATAGTTAGAGATTATTTAGACAAAAATCAAAAATTCATTATCCATTTTAGCAGTTCAGATCAAAATCAAAATTCATTATCAATTATTCAAATTTGTAATTAAATAAGCTTCTACTTTCTGTAGATTTTTTTTTTCTTTTTTCTTTTTTAAGAGTAGTGAGAAAGTGCGAGCTCAAAAGCACATCAGTCTAGAGATTTGAGAATAGGTCGCCATGTTGACCACATTGTCTACCTAGATTAAAAACCTTGTAGTAAGGAAACCCATAAAAAGCCTTATTTATTACCAAATTGGGTCAACATAATATATATATTTTTTAATTTCCATATCACAAAAGATACAATTAAATTTGTTTAGATACCACCTGGACCGCCATAAAAGATTATATGACCGGCTTCAGGGAATCCAGAGTTTAGCTCGTCTAGCACTTTATAGCCTCGATTGTTATCGGAAAACGATTCCATATAATCCACTTTGTCATCAAATTTAAAATTACCGTCGAGTATGGATATACGTTTGACATAAGCATCGTAACGCATATGATCAAATGGAAAAATTCCATATCCCATTGGTGGACTCGGCGGTGATGGGCTGTACACTTCTCCTCCCCACTCGACCTTGTTCCCATGGCTTTGACGAAACTTCTGTGACGGCCAAAATCCGATTTCTACTGCATTATCACCAAACTCCAACCACCTTTTCCCATTTGCTTTGTCCTGATGCCATAAATAAAGAAGTAAATTTCAAATTTCTCAGTCATTTGACAACAAAAATTAAGCAAAAAAGGAATAAGAATTTTATATTGATAAGAATGAAATGGAATTACAAAAAAAAAAAAAAAAAAACAAGAAACGTAATCTAAGAATGAAGAAAACCTTGATTAGACCGAAGGTTACATAGTGACTATGCTTAGCACCACGAATAGACACTGGCGTCACTAACATACCCATAGGAAAATCATGACGAACGCTTATCATTCCCACGTCGCAATGGCTATTGTAACATGCTTTTCCACCTGCCTGTCTCATCGTTATCCTTATATATTAGCCAAGTTACATAATAGATATAGATTACTCTAATAAATTTTTAAAAGAGAATTGACTAGCATGGATGTAGCCGACTCTTACCTTTGTATAAACGAAAACCCTAGGTTGGTCATCCCTGTACAATGCTGGATTAACCTGAATCAGTATGTTGTTTAGATATGTATTGAATAACATTGTACATATTTTGAATTCTTGGTTATATATGAGACCGATTAACTGACTTACAGTTAAACCGAGTTGGATGTAATCATCACCCATCTGAAAGTGGAGCCTAGAAGCACTGAATTGGTTAGGGTTAACCGTAGGAGCAGTTACACAAAGTTCCATTGTTGCTCCATTGAACATCATTCCTGTGTTCGTTGTCCGACCCACCGCAAACTAATCACATTCATTTACAATCAATAACCAAACATACTAATTATGATTTATAAATAAATCAAAATTTTAATCGATGATTAAGGTTAATTAATTTAAAGAAGCAACTTACATGGTGTAGTTTGTATTGATCAGCATTATTAGGATCATAAGAGGTAGTATTCCAAGAACCACGAGGTTTATAATTATCGCCTAATGAGTTTAAACTTAGGAGATCGTTTTTGGTGACTCTTCGTATAGGGACCGTACCAATGGGACAACCCACACCATTCTCCCACAAGTAACCAAATCCAGTATTGTTTGTCTTACTTTTTCTCATTCCTTCTGGATGCCACATCCGTTGCATCTAGGATATATGACAAAAAACATATTATTGTTTTTTTAAATGTTTAGAAGAATTTATATATAAGGAATAGATTCAAAATTTTATACCTTGTAATGGTATGTGTGATTTTTCATAGAAGGGTGATCAAATCCTGGTTGCTTGAAGAAATCTACACATCCGTATCGTTCTCCATCGATAGTCTATCATATACAGCCACAAAAAATAGAGCATATTATTATATAATTCATTAATAAATTACGACAAAATTATGAACGGACCTTGATGATCTTGACAGCAGGTTTGTTGATTGTCTTTAATTTCCTCTGAATTTCTAAATCTTCAAACTTAGACAAGCTCTTGGCTTCGATAAAGCCTTTGTTATGACTTGTAATTATGTGACCAAAGATGTAACACATCAACAACACCCAGGTCACTGGACCTTTCACTTCCATTTTTACCGAGAGAAAGAGAGATTATTAGTTTTGATGTGGAAACATAAAGGCTTAATATAATATTCATAAGGTCGAGGAGGCTGAGACAGAAAGAAAAGATATGATTTTTATTAATTTAAAACCGTTGACCATAACAAAAATTTGGAGAGACATATATAGTAATCAATTAATATAAACTGTGCCATCAACAGATTCTTATTAAGTTTGCACTTAATTTTTGGTCAACAATTCCTGAGAGATTTATGTTTGATTGATTGGTCAATTGCATTTAATACAATTGATTCCGGAGAAAATAATCTCTATATTTGAAAATATCGAAAAAGAATTGTTGCTTAAAAAATATTGACATGTCAGAGGATTCTCAATGACTTTTTGTTATTTTAGTATTATTAGAACTTAAGCTCTTACCAAAAATCTTGAAGGAAAATGTCGTAATTTAATAAATGAATATTTATTTAAAAAAAGTTATAAATAAAATTTTACAGATCCAAAAATGATGATCAAGAGACATATGCATCCAAAACAATTTCTATTACTGTTACGTTCAGAAGTAGAAAGTAAAAAAGATGAAAGTATGCTACATTTCAAAGCATTTTAAGGATTATTGAAATACATGTAAGAGAAATTAATAAAGGGTTACATTGTGAAGCGTTGAGTAAGGCTCTGAATTTATTTTCTAATCATTCTTTGAGTGTTACATCGTGAAACGTTGAGTAAGCATGGAGAAAACCCTAAACCCTAAACCCTGAATCTTTAAGCGTTGAGTAAGACTGTGAATTTATTTTCCAATCACTTTTTGAGTGATTTACGCTCAAAAACACTTTTTCTACTTATTCTTACAAAAAATCACTTCTAACTATTGGGGTACTTTTTTATTCTTTTTAAATTTTACATCAAAATAATACAAAATTGCTCCTCGTGTTCATGATAACACGATAACGGTGGATACGAGTTCGTGGATACTGGATTATACCCAGATTTTAAAAACAATAATTTTTTTATCCTTCTGTTTTGTTTTGTATTTTTCTGTATTGTGAAAGATATAAAATAATTTGTTTTGTTAGAATGAATTCTAATTTTTTTTGTCATTATTTTAAGACCCATTATGATATACTTTATTGAGACAACTAAACTAAAAGGCACTTTTGAAACTCATATTACGTTATAAAGCACTTCTAACTATTATGATATTTTTTTCTTTCTTTTTAAATTTCACACCAAAATAATCTAAAATTGCCTTCCATGTTCACGATAACGGTGGATACAAATGAGTTGATACCAAATTACACCCAAATTTTAAAAATCAGTAATTTTTTTCTCATCTATTTTGTTTTATATTTTTCTATATTGTGAAAGATAAAAAATAATTTTTATTGTTAGAATGAATCATAATTTTATTTTCTTATTATTTTAAGATCTATTATACTATAGTTTATTTATCAAACAAGAATTTTTTTCAAAAAACGTTTACAAAAAATTCAGCCATAAACATATATAGAGCAAAGTATATATTTCATCCATATTTAACATACTGCCAATTTGGTTCCTACTTTGCTATATTTTTAAAAATATCCTTTTATTTATTGTCTTTGGTGTCTTCTCGATTTCTAGATCTTCAAGTTTGGACAAGCTCTTCGCTTCGACAAAGCCGTTTTTACGACTTATAAATATATGACCAAAGATGTAAACATCAAGAACAAGAGAGCAAGAAGTGGATGTCTTCTTATGGAGAATGAAGGAGGATGTAAGCAAGTTTAGAAGATGAAAACAACAAGAGAGCAACTGAGATTATCATCTCCGAAGGTTCCTTGGGCTCCAGGAGTTTGGTTTACTCACAATTGTCCCAAGTTCGGATTTATCAGTTGGACAGCTCTGCATAACCGTCTCAGTCTCACTACAGGAGATTGTATGCAAGCCTTAAATTCGAATACTCAAGCTGCATGTGTACTTTGTCATCATTCGCTTGAATCACGATTGCAAGACCACTTATTCTGCATGTGTACTTTGCCACCTACTTCTAAACAGGTGTGGACAAACTTAGCAAAAGGAATCCTTGCTCAAGACCCTCTTTAGAATGGCTTGACATGGTCAACCTAATCTCAATTCCTCATCAAAATAAATTGAAGTCATATCTCGATATCTTTTTCAAGCTGTCATCTACACTCTGTGGAGGGAAAGGAATGAAAGAAGGCATGGATCATCACCATCTCCACTGTCTAAGCTGATCAAGTTCTTCTACAAATATCTTTGAAATAGCTTTGGATCAATATGGATTCGCAAAGATAAACGCTATGAGAAAGGTTTACAACTCTGGTTTTCATCAGGACTAGTGGACTAATGAAAACTCAGCTTATAATCTTTTATTTTTTAACTTATGATCTTATATTACAGCTGGCATTTACAATGTAAAAAACATTTATTTATTTTTTGAGTTTGAATAAAATTTAATATTCATCGGAGAAAAAAACAAGAAAACCCAAATCATTGGCCTTCCCATTTCCTTTTTTTTTTAATTAGCAAGAAGAGGTTGAGAAAAGAACACAAGAATTGGTTCTCATTTATATAAGACTGTTAACCAAACGAAATTATGGCAAGACTAAGGCCTTGATTGGTATAGTTGATAGTAAAACATTATGCTTAAGCAGCATAAGCAGTATGTTCTTATTAGTGTACACATTTTAAATGATTGGCAGAGCTGTAGGTTTTAATATATACAGTGTCGGACCGATCAATTTGGATGCCCGCGTCTAACTTTTTTAAATATGTCCTTTTATATTTTTTTTTCAAAATTTAAATAATAAAAAAATGAAACAAAAGTTTCATAAAACAATTAAATTTCATAAACGGTTTGTAAGAAAAGAAAAAGATCCGATAAACATATAGTTTTAGTGCTGAAATATAGATCTTCTTGCATTTTTCCATGTAAAATCGTTCATTAAACTGTCGTAGTCGAGTTTTTCAACCATAGATGTCTCAATTGATAACAAAGCTAACCCATTTTTGTTGTTTCTGGTGACCAAGATAACTAAAGAGGCCTTGCTAGAACGAGCTGAAGAATATAACGGACCATAGGTGGACTTGGGGGGTGTGGGGGGCGAAGCCCCTCACGGTACGGTTTTCTTATTGAGCTAGATTCAGGTTTTCTTTTATCTAGTGGGTTTGGGAGTCGGGTTTTTGGGACTATAACAAAACTTAGGGTTTGTAATTATTCATTCACACAATTAATAAGAAAACCCTTAATGGGTGTTTGACAATAACCCTCCATTTTTTTAAAAAAATCAAGCACTTCAATAGGTTTATGAACATCATCTGGTATTGATACTCAAAGAATTTTCAGTTCCATAAACAGATCATCACCATCTATGTCTGAATGTGTACCATTCTTTAAAGAAGACTCCAAATTCGCGCATGATTTCTTCAAACTATCATTGATGGCTGATATTAGTTTTTATATATCAAACAAAAACCCAAAAGTTTGTATATACTTTTGGAACAGTTCAAACCTAGACTCGAGAGAAACTAGAGTTTGATTCCTAATAATTTTTTTTAACAAAAAATATGCCCCTTTATAGTGGATGCCGCAAAAATATGTCCATTTAGAGTGGATGCCCGCGGCGGTCGCCTCCCTCGCCTGCCCTCAAGGCCGGGCCTGAATATATATGCAGTATATTATATTTATAATGTAAATTTAGAATTTTTCATATTTTATTATATTTATTAAAATATTACTTGATTATAATATATAAAAAATGATAAATATCAATGTTAAAAATGAAAAAAATTTACATTTTAATATAAATATAATTTTTCTATTATTATAATAAAATAAATTAATTATATAAAAATTATTTTGAAATATTGAAATATTTCAAAAGCCTAATATTTTGGAAAAGCTTCATAAGAGAGTGTAGAAAAAAGATCATATAAGAGAGCATTTGTATCTTTTAAATGCTTTCCTAAATGTTCTATTAATAAAAGTTGATTAGATGATTAAAAACAAAATATTTTTTTAAAAGCTCTACCAATCAAGATCTAAAACGTTGACTAATGCATGAACATTTTACATACTTGCTATTACAATGAATTCTTATTAATTCCGGAAAGACGTGTGTTTAGTCAACAATTCCAGTTGACATATTTCTCAATATATTAATCAGTCAACAGTTTTTCAATATACTAACCAGTCAACTTTTTTTTTCTTGTCAATCCCACTATTAATTAAACTTATTTAACCGGATGAACAAAAACACTCCGTCAACAAAATTTACAAAAATATAAGTTTCAGAAATATTCGTACGAGTATATAACAAGTCCATCATCTTGTTTCAGAACACTGACCACTCGTAACGGATTTTGTGTCGTCATCATCATTTGGAGTTCTGAAAAAATCTATCTCAACATTCCGATCATTGTAGAGGTCGCAATACATGACTTTATCGAACATCCCTCATTAGTCACGTTACGTCGATTCCAGACATGTAATTAATTCGGAGAAGCTCGAGAAGATATGTTTTTTACAGCGTTAAAGATATAATATCATAAATTTTTCCAATTTTATTAATGCGAGCTGTAATACAAGATCATAAATTAAAAAAAAAGATTGTAAGCTGAAGTTTCCTTAGTTCACTGGTCTAATTATTTGGAGTATACAATTTCTCTTAATTTATTAGCACTGTGTTTCACAAAAGACGATAACTGTTTGTCAAACCAAATCAAGTAATGTCTTCATTTTCTATATTACAAAAATGTATAATAAGATTTAGATTTTTCCGAGACCAACATACTAGATCTTAATACATTGACTATAATTTTTTTTTAAAAGTTGAGTTTTCCTTGAAATACTGTTAACTTTTATCTTTCCCATTGTAAATTCAAAATAAAATCCAATAAATACATTACAAGAACAACACCAAACATGTTAAATATCTTTCAAAAGTCATGTATTCATGGGTTATCTAGGTTTTGCTTTTTCACTTGAACAAACTAATATAATATATGGGTTATCTTAGGGTTTTGCAACATAACAACCACCAAGATCATCACTTTATATGTCAGATCTATTGTCTTTATCCAAAAAACCAAATATATGAGAAACTAATGAGAAAAAGAAATGGACCTTGGTCATCGATCTAGCGGCATGATGATCAGTAGAATGGTACAAAAGAGGTCTGAGTACAGCCAACTTTTGCAGGTGGAAGAAGAGACGAGACACGTCCTTCCACACATGCACCCATCGATTTGAGAAAATACTTGTCCTCATGGCTTCTTTGATGGACAGTCTAGATAAGATCTTAACAGATAGATCATTTGGGAGTTTTCTGATTCGATCATCGGTATTGACTGCATCAACACTATTATGTCCTCGTACATCAGAAGATAAAAGTGATCTCTCCATGGATAGGATCGCTAAAGAAAATGTTTGGACTCTTTTGTAAAATTAATCATTATTTTTAAACTAGCATTTCTAACTCCGGGCTGTCACATTGCTAATTTTCTAATTGACTCTAATTTTTTTTTAAAAATACCCACTTAAGAAAGAATATATATATATATATATATATATATTCTTAAATTCTTCTTTAGCGATCCTATCCATGGAGAGATTAGTTTTACCTTCTGATGCACGAGGACATAGTAGTGACGATGCAGTCAATACCGATGATCGAATCTGCAAACTCCCAAACGATCTATTGCTTAAGATCTTATTGGGACTGTCCATCAAAGAAGCCATGAAGACAAGTGTTTTGTCAAATCGATGGGTGGATGTGTGGAAGGACTTGTCTCATTTCTTCTTTGACCTGCGAAAGTTGGCAGTAATCATTGGGTACAAACCCAATAGATCGTTTTGGAGTTTGCTGATTCGATCATCAATATTGGTTAGGAGACCAATATAACTGACTTACATGTAAACCGATTTGGATGTAATCATCACCAATCTGAAAGTGAAGACTAGAAGCACTGAATTGGGTAGGTTTAACCTTAGGAGCAGTAACACAAAGTTCCATTGTTGCTCCATGGTACATCATTCTTGTGCTCGTTGTCCAGCCACCCCAAACTAATCAATCATATTCATTTTCAATTAATAACCAAACAGACTAATTATCATTTACATATGCATCAAATTTTAATCGGTGATTAGGTTAATTAATTCATAGAAGCAACTTACATGGTGTTGGTTGTATTGACCGTCATTATTAGGATCATAAGTGGTAGTATTCCAAGAACCATGGGGTTTATAATTATCGCCTAACAAGTTTAACTTAAGAGATCGTTTTTGGTGACTCTTCGTATAGGGACTGCAGCAATGGGACAACCCACACCATTCTTCTACAAGTAACCAAATCCAGTATTGTTTGTCTTACTTTTTCTCATTCCTCTAGGATGCCACATCCGTCCTATCTAGGATTAGGATATGACAAAAAAGAACTCTTATTTTTTTTTTAAATCTTTCGAAGAATTTATATATAGGGAATGGATCCAAAATTTTATACCTTGTAATGGTATGTGTGATTTTTCATAGAAGGGTGATCAAATGCCGGTTGCTTGAAGAAATCCACACATTCGTATCATTCTCCATTGATAGTCAATCATTTGCAGCCACAAAATATTGAGCTTATTATATAATTCATTAATCATATATAGTTAATTAATTACGACAAGATTATGAATGGACCTTGATGATCTTGACAGCAGGTTTGTTGATTGTCTTTAGTTCCTCTGAATTTTGAGATCTTCAAACTTGGACAAGCTCTTGGCTTCGATAAAGCCTTTGTTATGACTTGTAATTATTCGACCAAAGATGTAACACATCAACAACACCCACATCACTGGAATTCTCACTTCCATTTTTACCCAACAAGAGAGAGAGAGAGAGAGAGAGAGAGAGAGAGAGAGAGAGAGAGAGAGAGAGAGAGAGAGAGAGAGAGAGAGATGATTAGTTTCGATTGGGGGAAAATAAAGGCTTTATATAACAGTCATAAGGTCGAGGAGGCTGAGAAAGAAAGAAAAGATATGATCCTTACTAATTTAAAACTGTTGACCGAAACAATTTTTTTGGAGAAACATATAGTAATGAATTAACATAAACCGCGCGATTCAACTGATTCTTATCAAGTTTGCACTTATTTTTTGGTCCACATTTTCTGAGAGACTTATGTTTGATTGACTGGTCAACTGCATTTAATACAATTGATTCCGGAGAAAATAATCCCTATATTTGAGAATATTGAAAAATAATTGTTGCTTAAAAAGAAATTGACATAAAGGCTTTATATGTGGAGGAGGCTGAGAAAAAAAAAGATATGATTCTTACTAATTTAAAACTGTTGACTAAAAACAAAATTTTTGGAGAGATATATAGTAATGAAATAACATAATCCGCGTTATTCAACGGATTCTTATCAAGTTTGCACTTATTTTTTGGTCAACAATTCCTGAGAGACCTATGTTTAATTGATTGGTCAATTGCATTTAACACAAATGATTCCGGAGAAAATAATTCCTATATTTGAGAATATTGAAAAAGAATTGTTGCTTAAAAAGACATTGACGTGTCGGAGGATTCTCAAGAACTTTTGGTTTTCTTTAGAATTACTAGAACTTAAGCTCCTACCAAAACCGTGGAGGAAAATGTTGTAATATTATTTTAATGAATCTTTATTCATAAGAGTTATAAATAATTTCTTACAGATCTAAAAATGAAGATCAAGAGACATGCATCTGATGTGACTTGATGTGGTCGTGTCGAGGATGTCAAGTTTTACCCTAAATGAAATCAATAGCCGCAAGTGCACAGCTGATCGATTGTAGTACTTAGGGATCGAATCCACAGGGAAGAAGGATATTTCCTGCAAAATCCTTCGAAAGAAATATAAAGTAAGGAAGTCTAGAACCAGACGATTTTTGTGACGGTTTTGGTGGTGTCTTTAAAACGTAAAAACTAATCATAACGAGAAAATACGGGAATTAAAATGACCTAATAACTAAACTTAACGAAAACGACTAAAAACGAGAAAAACAGCTAACCCTAATTGCTTAAATGAAAATCGATTAAGAGAGTGAAAATACTAGACTAAAACTTGAATGAAAATCGGTGTAAATCTATAGAAAAGAGGTGTTGGGTTTCAATGAAGTTTTCTTAGGGGTATGAACGATTCAAAACATTGCTAAAGAGTAAATTTGATAAGATCTTATCTTAAACTTTTCGAACTGGAGTCACGGACGTATGAATACGCCACTGTCGTGATCATAGATAACTATCTCTCTCAATCCTGACCAGTAGGTTTCCACTCTGGCTCTGGAAGAGAAGAGATGCATTATGTTTAAGACTCGTCAGCATTCACAAATCGCCCATAGGTAGGTTTCCACTCCTATGTTTGTTTTGCTCTCCCAAACTAGATCTGACACCGGATGAACACTTTCGTGTCACCAAGCATCTGGATCAGATTGTAGTTCATGACGCTACTCTCATGCAGTAAAAACGAATTCAGAAGAAAAAGTTCCAAGATTCGGCTTCAATAGCTCATGGAATCCTCATCGAACATAAGTATCCCCATCGAAAATCCCTTAGACCCAACAATAAAACTACTCAGACATGATGAACAAAATCAAAAACATAGTATTAAAAAGTAGTACAGAAACCGAAATTCAAAAAGAAAGAACAAGGGTTCAAGAGATAGATCTCTCTCTTCCTAAAAGCTAAAGTATAAAAACAATAAGAAAACAAGATGGTGTAAAAGGTGATGATGGATTGATACAAATTAGGGTTCCTAAAACATGTATTTATAGTCGTCAATACTCTCTGGTGTCTAGGGTTTCAGAATTGAGGCTAGGAAAATGATATGAGCTTCAGAAATGGGCCTTCGAACTCGGAGTTGGCTGGCCGCGGTCGGGATGTACGTGACCGCGGGGAATGGATGGTTGGCCGCGGTCGGGAGGCTTGTGACCGCGGGGAATGGGCTGGTGGCCGCGGGTGGAAATGCTTGCCGGCTGGTTTACGGGACATATTGCTCTTCGCATATCTTTTGATTGAACCGTTGGATTGCCAAGCTGTAAAGTGTGCTGGAAAGCTGATACTTCCATCTTTGAGATCTTTAAATTTGAGCTGGATCAGACGGTTAAAAATTCTTTAATCGGGGGTGAACTTCTGACGGTTTGACTCTGAGCTAAAAATATGGTCTTCTATCCATTTTGTTAAGCTTTTCCCTAAGTTTTCTGAAAAGAGTCTTGGAACTACAAATACTAGAAAAACGTAATAAAAATACTTGAAAGCAATAAAAAAACATAGAAAATATATTTCAAAACGATCCATAAAAGTGGTCAAAATACGGTGTTATCAGAATCCAAAACATTTTCTATTATTGTTACGATGAGAGATTCAGAAGTAGGAAAATAAAAAAGATGGTGTAATGAAAATGTACAGAAGACTTATAATGGTATGTGTGAGCTTTCATAGAAGGGTAATCAAATGCTGGTTGCTTGAAGAAATCCACACATCCATATCGTTCTCCATGTATATACTCTATCTCATTTGCAGCCATAAACATATATAGAGCAAAGTATATATTTCATCCATATATAACATACTGCCAATTTGGTTCTTACTTTGCTATATTTTTAAAAATATCCCTTTATTTATTATCTTTAGTGTCTTCTCGATTTCTAGATCTTCAAGTTTGGACAAGCTCTTGGCTTCGACAAAGCCGTTTTTACGACTTATAAATATATGACCAAAGATGTAAATATCAAGAACAAGAGAGCAAGAGGTGGATGTCTTCTTATGGAGAATGAGGGAGGATGTAAACAAGTTTAGAAGATGAAAACAACAAGAGAGCAACTGAGATTATCATTTCCGAAGGTTCCTTGGGCTCCGTGTTTGGTTTACTCATAATTGTCCCAAGTTCGGATTTATCAGTTGGCCAGCTCTGCATAACCATCTCAGTCTCACTACAGGAGATTTTACGCAAGCCTTGAATTCGAATAATCAAGCTGCATGTGTACTTTCCCATCATTCACTTGAATCACGATTGCAAGACCACTTATTCTGCATGTGTACTTTGCCACCTACTTCTACACAGGTGTGGACAAACTTAGCAAAAGGAATCCTTGCTCAAGACTCTCTTTGGAATGGCTTGACATGGTCAACCTAATCTCAATTCCTCATCAAAATAAATTGAAGTCATATCTCGATATCTTTTTCAAGCTGTCATTTACACTGTGGAGGGAAAGGAATGAAAGAAGGCATGGATCATCACCATCTCCAATATCTAAGCTGATCAAGTTCTTCTACAAATATGTTTGAAATAGCTTTGGATCAATATGGATTCGCAAAGATAAACGCTATGAGAAAGGTTTACAACTCTGGTTTTCATCAGGACTAGTGGACTAATGAAAACTCAGCTTATAATCTTTTATTTTGTAATTTATGATCTTATATTACAGCTGGCATTTACAATGTAAAAAACATTTATTTATGTTTTGAGTATAAATAAAATTTAATATTCATCGGAGAAAAAAATAAGAAAACTCAAATCACTGGCCTTCCCATTTTGTTTTTTTTTATTAGCAAGAGGAGGTTGAAAAAGGAACACAAGAATTGGTTCTCATTTATATAAGACTGTTGACCAAACGAAATTATGGCAAGACTAAGGCCTTGATTGGTATAGTTGATAGTAAAACATTATGTTTAAGCAGCATAAGCTGTATGATGTTGAAACAGTATGTTCTTATTAGTGTACACATTTTCAATGATTGGCAGAGCTGTAAGTTTAAATATATATATGCAGTTTATTATATTTATCATGTAAATTTAAAATCTTTCATATTTTATTATAATTATTAAAATATTACTTTATTATAATATTATTTTAAAAATAAAAAATGATAAATATTAATGTTAAAAATGAAAAATTTACATTTCAATATAAATATAAATTTTCTGTTATTTTATAAAATAAATTAATTATGTAAAATTATTTTAAAAATATTGAAATATTCTAAAAGCCTAATGTTTTGGAAAAGCTTCATAAGAGAGCGTAGAGAAAAGATCATACAATAGAGCATTTACATCTTCTAAATGCTTTCCTAAATGTTCTATTAATAAAAGTTGATTAGATAATTAAAAACACAATGTTTTTTTAAAAGCTCTACCAATCAAGACCTAAAACGTTGACTAATGCATGAGCATTTTACATACTTGGTATTACAATGAATTCTTATTAATTCCGGAAAGACGTGTGTTTGGTCAACAATTCCAGTTGACATATTTGTCAATATATTAATCGGTAAACATTTTGTCAATATATTAACCAGTCAACTTTTTTTTCTTTGTCAATCCCACTATTAATTAAACTTATTTAACCGGATGAACAAAAAAACCCCGTGAACAAAATTTACAAAAATATAAGTTTCAGAAATATTCGTACGAGTATATAACAAGTCCATCATCTTGTTCCAGAACACTGACCACTCGTAACGGATTTTGTGTCGTCATCATCATTTGGAGTTCTGAAAAAAATCTATCTCAACATTCCGATCATTGTTGAGGTCGCAATACAAGACTTTATCAAACATTCCTCACGTAGTCACGTTATGTCGATTCCAGACATGTAATTAATTCGGAGAAGTTCGAGAAGATATATATTTTTTACGGCGTTAAAGATATAATATCATAAATATTTCCAATTTGTTAATGAGAGCTGTAATATAAGATCATAAATTAAAAAAAAAGATTGTAAGCTGAAGTTTCCTTAGTCCACTGGTCTAATTATTTGGAGTATACAACTTCTCTTATTTTATTAGCATTGTGTTTCACAAAAGACGATAACTGTTTGTCAAACCAAGTCAAG